CAAAGGACTGAAAACCAATCACAAAGAGTACTTTCTTCATTTAAAAACATGAGATGCAGTGGGATGGGGAAAACCGCCATAAAGTTTCGAGACATGTTTTTTAAAAGTTGAACTTACGTTAATTTTACATGGCTTTCTAAACATGCGGCTCTCTTGAGCGAGACGTGAGTGCAATGGTGATAGATGTCCCTCTAGAAAATGCGATAAATGTGCATTCTGTGTGAATGGCTTGGTTTCGGTTTTGACATAAACAACATTCTCCGCAATGATGTTCTCTTTTTCCGCAATATTTTGAATGAACAACGTAGCAGCGCCGCATTCAGTGGGTTCAACTGGATAGGCTAAAATGGATAGGCTTAATGCAACTGGAAAAGCATTAAAATGCAATGACACCTACATCGTCATCGCATCTCGTGTGCCACTGATAAGGCTGCCTGCGACGCACACCTAAAATTCGAATGCAAGGTTTTTGCATTCGAATGTGGATTTTTATTTTAAATTCGACGAATATTGGAAATTCAAATTTTTTTTGACAGCCCTATTCCGCAGCCTTCCTTGAACAGTTATGTTACGTTTTCTGATTTACGTAACGTATACTGCGTGAGGGTGGCTGTGATTGGATGATAACAGGTGTCGGTGATTATTCTCAAGTGATCAGCACTGCTGCTGTTGTATCAGTCAAAGGTTAACTGTCAAGAAACGGGACAAGGGAGGTCACGTACGGGACAAATAAATTAAGCCAAATATACGGGACGTCCCAGCTAATATGGAATGGTTGGCAACCCTAGTACCATAACAACAAGACTCATCATCATCTGATGTCAGTGTTGTCACAGTTATGTTCCATATGATTCTGTTTTTTGTCTTGTTTTCCCTGTGTCTGTTTGCCTGCATTCTCTTTAGTTATTAGTTTCTATGGTTTTGTAATTAGTATGCACATATTTCAGTTCCTTTTGATTAACTTGTCTGTGTATTTAAGCCTCTCTTTGTTCTATGTTTGATCTTGTTTATGGTAATGTGTTGCTTCGTTTCCCTTGTTTATTAAAACTCTTTGTGAACTTTCTTCTTTGTGCGTCTTGTTTGGATTATCACACAGAAATGTTACAAACGTGAGATTGATCTTTCTAGAACTGTAGTCTGGGACTTAAACTATTTACTTTTAGAACTTTCCCAACTAGGTTCACATAAGTGCAAATTTCCCCATCTCTAAACCTCTGATTTAGTTATCTTTCTATACATTTAAGATTTGTTCAGTGAGTCGCACATTCAAATCCAAACACTTGATCTAAAATTCTATGCTTTTGTATTTTTGTTTTTTTACAAAGAAACATTCCCTTTAAACAAGTAGGCTCTTACTGTGAGGTTTGAGGTAAGGGATGAGGTGAGGACTAATGCACAGAGCAATAATCTTTTTTATTACATTTAAAAAGAGAATCAAAAACTACCCCGAAGGAATGGGGCAGGACAACGAACACAAGGGTATTAAAGACAACAAATTATCACAGGACTGAAAACACAAGAAAAGGATAAATAAGAAACCAAACAGTGAGGATAACAAAGGAGGACAGGTGGACAAATTATCCAATGATCAGGTAACAAAGAGTGTTCAACAATAGAGAGAAGAACACATTGCATATAGAAACAAACACAAAAGCCATCTGTTCGCACAAAACATAACACAAGAACACATGGCCAATGAGACCACTCACAAGCTGCATGCTAAACCAAACATGACACAAGAAAAAAAAAGCATGAGACAAGACCGCATGGTGAGAGAATGAACACTCATCACGTGTGCTCACAACAAAGACAAAATATAGAGCATGAATATCTGAACCCCGACACTGAACCGAAACCAAACTGACAGAAGTGCTAGGATCTGAACATCACACTCCAAACCAGGGGTGTAAATTGAGGGGGAATGGGGGCATCAGGACACCCCCACCCGGTAACCAAAACAGCTTTGTACCAACAGTCTTCAAAATACCTTCCTTTATGTTCCACAAAAGAAAGGTTTGAAACGACATGAGAGTGAGTAAATTATGACAGAATTAAAAAATTTTGGGGTGAACTATCCCTTTAATGTTTTTATTCTTATTATTGTTATTCTTATTATTATTAATTAAATGATACTCTAAATAAGAAACTAAATCTGCCAGGAGGTGGCGGTAAACGTTGTTACGTCTGGAGACGTAGTCTTTATTGTTATGATTTATCAGAAAAGCTGTGTTTTCTTCAATGTGTCTTTTTTTCCCTCCGTTAACCCTTTGGCTCCTCCTACTCAATCTGTCTGGCAGGTAGCTGCAGCTGCTTACCAGTTAAGAGTGAGCCAGCATAAAAGCACAGCAGCAACTACCAAAGTTTGAGAAAATGTTC